TTTTGAGATGGAGTCTCACTCTACCACCCAGGCTGGAGCGCAGTGGCACGATCTTGGCTCACTGCAACCTCCACCTCCTGAGGAAGTCATTCTCCTGCCTCAGCCTCCAGAGTAGCTGGGATTACAGGCATCCGTCACCATGCCTAGCTAATTTTGTATTTTTGGTAGAGATGGGGTTTCGCCATGTTGGCCAGGCTGGTCTCAAACTCCTGACCTCAAGTGATCTGCCCACCTCTGCCTCCCAAAATGCAGGGATTACAGGCGCGAGCCACCGCGCCCGGCCTTGACTTTAGACTCCTGGCCTCCAGAACTGCAGGGGCCTATATCTGTATTGTTTTAAGCCACAGATTTCTGGCCATGAGTTACTGCAGCCCCAGGAAGTTGATGCCGATGCTTACTTCTTCCTCAATTGGTTGGAGATGTCAAGTGGGCATGGCAGAGGGAGCTTGGGGAGGACTGGAACTCATGGGAGCTTATCCAAGGCATGGAGGCCACAGACTGGAAGCTCTCAGGGCGAACGTGGACAATGGGTGAACCGTCTGGGACTGAGCCCTTGGATGGGCCAACGTTCAGAGATCAGGAAGGAAGAGAAGCCAGCAGAAGAGGCTGGGGAGTTGGAATGGGGCATCTCATTGTGTAGCTAGAGGAGTGTGGACAGGAGGGAAGATCAAGAGCCTGAGAACCTCCTGAGGAGTTTTGCAATGAAGACAGGCAGAGAGGTGGGGTGATAAACCTGGAGGCGACCAGGAGGTCAAGGGGGGGGCTCTAGTTTTTATTTTTAACTTTTAAGATGGAGGGGGGCAGTTGTGATGGCTCATGCATGTAATCCCAGCCTTTGGGAGGCCGAGGATTGCTTGAACCAAGAGTTTCAGACCCACCTAGGCAATATAGCAATACCCGGCCTCTCCCCGCCCAAAAAAAATTAGCTGTATATGGTGGCACACACCTGCAGTCCCAGCTACTTGGGAGGCTGAGGCAAGAACATCACTTGAGCCCAGGAAGTGGAGCCCAGATCATGCCACTGTACTCCAGTCTGGGCAACAGAGTGAGATCCTGTCTCCAAAAAAAGAAAAACAAAAGGGTAGGGATAAAGAGATGAGTGGGACTTTGGTCATTTTGCCCTCTGGTTGCCATAAGTATGATCACAATTCAGTTTGTTACAATAAAACGTCGTATGGGGATTTTGCAGCCCTTTGGATTGACTTAGCTGTCTGTCAAAGTCTGTCCCACTCCTTGCCTCTCTCAGCCAGGGCCGATTGGATCCCGGGTGGACCCCTATTCAGAGCCAGCCGGCCCATTGGCTACCCCTGGGACCAATCAGAATCTCCCCTGATGACAGCTGGTGGGTAGTGGGCGGGGCTTGGAGAAGCAGAGCCCGGGAGACACAGTGGGAAACATTGTGTGACCCCAGGCACACATCGGAGGGGAGCCCTGAGCAAGGGGGATATGGATGGGCTTAGCTCCTGATGCTGTTTCCGGCTCCAGTCCCCTGAACTGCCTGCCCTCGGGGGCTGTGAACTTTCCTACGGCCCTTCAGGAAGCCCCCTTGGTGACTGGAGCTGGCACGGGGGTCTCTGTTCCTGTCAACCACAGGTGCTTTTCCCATAAGCCCATCCAACCCTGCAGGAGGGCAGCTGCCAATGGAAAAGTCAGCCAGGAGCAACCACGTGGCCTTCCCCTTGGCTAAGAGGGAAACTTAATCAGAACATGCTGAGCTGGGCTGAGGCTCTGGCACCAGGTTGTGCCCCAACATCCTTTTTTTTTTTTTTTTTTTTTTGAGACAGTCTCAAAACAAAACAAAAACAGACACGATCGTAGCTCACTGCAGCCTCCATCTCCCAGACTCAAGCAATCCTCCAGCCTCAGCCTCCCCAGGTAGCTAGGACCACAGGTGCACACAACCATGCTCAGCTAACTTTTAAAACTTTTTTGTAGAAGTGGGGTCTTGCTATTTTGCCCAGGCTGGTCTTGAACTCCTGGGTTCAAGTGATCCTCCTGCCTTGATCTCCTGAAGTGCTGGGATTACAGGCGTGAGCCACCACACCTGGCTCCCCCGGTCTCTGAGCCTCAGTTTTCCTACCTATAAATTCTGTGACTCAGCAAGCTACTTTCAGCCAAAATTTTACCTGGAATCCAAGATGAATGAAGGAGCACCTTTAGGGTTACTGCCCAAGAAGGGACAGGGGACCTCAGCCACTCCATCCTGGGGCCCAGCCTCCCAACTGCCCTGCCCTGGGTTCATCCTCACAACCCCATCCAGCTGCTGACGTGGGGAACACAGCCTCCCTGGAGGCTCCTGGGGCTGAGCCACTCACACCTCTGCCACTACACCTTTGATCTTTCCCTATTCCCGCCCCCAGTCCCTTCCCCAGGGGGGCCAAAGTTGCTGCTAGACCTCATGACCATCTGCACTAGCAAGGGTCCCCCAGTGCTGAGCATGCTCAGGGGAGTGGTCTCTGACTGTTACCTCCAGGTCTCCCTTGGTGATGGACTCCTCCTCCATGTGAAGCTGCAGATCCTCCACCTTCCTGCAGGAGAGGGAAAGAGCCGGCTGACCTGGCTTTGCCCAGAGCGACGGGCTTCGCCAAGTGAGCAACAGCAGAGAGGCGAGGCCATCAGAACGGCCCAGAGTCCACACTCGGATGATGTAGAGGCAACCAACCCAGCAGAACAGGGACCTGCCCAGAGTCCTATGGCTGAGCGGGGCAGAGCATCCTGGAAAGCTCTAGACCTCCCAACCTGCTGACCGGCACTCAAAGAAGAACCACCAATAACTATTCCTCCCCAGGGTGGTGGGAAGTAAAATAAGGGGCAGGGTGGCCTAGGGATGTGAGTGACAACACTGTTTCCTTCCTTCCTTCCTCCCCTCCCTCCCTCCATCCCTCCCTCCCTCCTTCCTTCCTTCTCTCTCTCTATTTTTTCTCTTCTTTTCTTTCTTAATGAGACAGAATCTGGCTCTGTTGCCCAGGCTGGAGTGCAGTAGCATGATCTTAGCTCAGTGCAGCCTCTGCCTCCGCCTCCGCCTCCCGGGTTCAAGCGATTCTCCTGCCTCAGCCTCTGGAGTAGCTGGGGTTATAGGCATACACCACCATGTCCAGCTAATTTTTTTTTTTTAATAGAGTCTCGCTCTGTCACCCAGGCTGGAGTGCAATGGCGTGGTCTCGGCTCATCGCAACCTCTACCTCCCAGGTTCAAGCAATTCTCCTGCCTCAGCATCCCGAGTAGCTGGGATTACAGATGCCCGCCACCATGCCTGGCTAATTTTTGTATTTTTAGTAGAGACGGGGTTTCACTATGTTGGCCAGGATGGTCTCAAACTGCTGACCTCATGATCACCCCGCCTCAGCCTCCCAAAGTGCTGGGATTACAGGTGTGAGCCACCGCGCCTGGCCCTAATTTTTGTATTTTTAGTAGAGATGGTGTTTCACCATGTTGGCCAGGCTGGTCTTGAACTCCTGGCCTCAAGTGATCCACCCACCTTGGCCTCCTAAAATGCTGGGATTACAGGCGTAAGCCTCTGTGCCCAGCCGACTACGCTGTTTTCATCACTGCAAGCAGCAGACAATACCACAAGGAATAAGCCATGGGGAGGAAGGAAAGGAGAGGAGGAAAGTGGGCTTCCTTCGCTGTTGACCCTGTTCTCATCACAGGCCTCAAAATTGGGGGTCAGGGTCCCAATCCCTACTCCCAGGCTGCCTCTGGATGTGGAAGGTTCAGGCCTTCAGGGCCGGCCTCAGGGAGACACACTCAGCCACATACCTGTCAAGAGAGTGCAGGGGAAACGCACAGGCCCACCCCTCTTTATAGGAACACATAAGCTTTCAAAGCTGCTCTCCCTGAGTTCTCCTAACAGCTCTCAGCATAGCAATGAGGAATGAGGCCCAGAGAGGGCAAGTGACCTGCCCAAGGCCACACAGCAAGCACAGGGCAAGGCAGGGACTTGCACCTGAGCCCCTTCTGATCACAACTCCACGATGCCTTCAAGATCTGTGTTTGTGGCTGGGCACAGTGTCTCATGCCTGTAATCCCAGCACTTTAGGAGGCTGAGGCGGGCAGATCACTTGAGTCCAGGAGATAGAGACCAACCTGGGCAACATGGCGCAACCCCGTCTCTACTAAAAATGTGAAAATTAGCAGGGCATGGTGGTGAGAGCCTGTAATCCCAGCTACTCGGGAGGCTGAGGCAGAAGAATTGCTTGAACCCAGGAGGCAGAGTTGCAGTGAAACAAGATCGTGCCACTGCACTCCAGCCTGGGTGACAGAGTGAGACTCTGTCTTAAAAAAAAAAAAAAAAAAAAAGATCTGTGTTTGTTTGTTGGCATCAGGCACGTTGCCATGGGAACCAGATGTGTGGGCCCCTACGGCTGTCTCAGGCAGATATAAATACACCCTCGTCTCCCTGAATCCGACAGGAACGACAGCTTATGGAGCACAGGTGCCCGCTGAAAGCCCACAAAACAGACTCAATTGGACACGCTGGGGATGGGGGCTGGCTGCTGCCTGCAGACAGGGGAGGGAGATGTAGGCATCTGGGCATCGTCTAGGAGGTAAAGAGGACCCAGGCCAAAGCAAACCTGTCAGCTTCGTGTCCTACCAGGTGACCCAGGGCTGAACTGGCCAAAGTCCCCGCCTGGCATCTTCGGTTAGAAGACTGCTGGGGAGATAGATCCTGCTTGTGTCTTTTCTTTTGAGGTGGAGTCTCATTCTGTCACCCAGGCTGGAGTGCAATGGCACAATCTTGGTTCACTGCAACCTCCGCCTCCCGGGTTCAAGTGATTCTCCTGCCTTAGCCCCCTGAGCTGCTGGGATTCGGGGTGCCCACCACCAGGCCCAGCTAATTTTTGTATTTTTGGTAGAGACCAACAGGTTTCACCATCTTGGCCAGGCCCGTCTCAAGCTCCTCGTCTCCGGTGATCCACCTGCCTTTTTTGTGTTTGAGACAGAGTCTCACTCTCTTACCCAGGCTGGAGTGCAATGCTGTGGTCTCGGCTCACTGCAACCTCCACCTCCCAGGTTCAAGCACTTCTCCCACTTCGGCCTCCCAAGTAGCTGGGATTATAGGTGTGAGCCACCATGCCTGGCCAAGTTTTATATTTTCAGTAGAGACAGAGTTTCTCCATGTTGGCCAGGCTGGTCTCAAACTCCTGACCTCAGGTGATCTGCCTGCCTTGGCCTCCCAAAGTTCTGGGATTACAGGCGTGAGCCACCGCACCTGGCCAGCTGTGACACTGAAAGTGATGACACCAGCAACGCATGCAGCACAGGGCTGACACCTGGACACAGGGTGTTTCAGGAGTCCCTTGGCTGCTGTTTCTCTTAGCCTCAGTTTCCTGGTATGTAAAATGGGAATGGATGCAAAAAATTAGCTGGGCTTGACGGCATGTGCCTGTAGTCCCAGCTACCTGGGAGGCTGAGGTGGGAGGACTGCATGAAGCTGGAAGGTTAAGGCTGCAGTGAGCTATGGCCAAGCTCCTGCACTCCAGCCCGGGTGACAGAGTGAGACTCTGTCTCAAAAAGAAAAAATAAATAAAGGAGGCCGGGCACGGCGGCTCATGCCTGTAACCCCAGCACTTTGGGAGGCCAAGGCGGGCAGATCACCTGAGGTCGGGAGTTCAAGACCAGCCTGACCAACATGGAGAAACCCTGTCTCTACTAAAAATACAAAATTAGCTGGGTGTGGTGGCGCGTGCCTGTAATCCCAGCTACTTGGTGGAGGCTGAGGCAGGAGAATCACTTGAACCCGGGAGGCGGAGGTTTTGGTGAGCCGAGGTCACGCCATTGCACTCCAGCCTGGGCAACAAGAGTGAAACTCCATCTCAAAACAAAACAAAACCAAATTAGCTGGCACGGTGGCATGTGTCTGTAATCCCAGCTACTCTGGGAGGCTGAGGCAGGAGAATCGCTCAAACCCAAGAGACGGAGATTGCAGTGAGCCGAGATCGCACCATTGTACTCCAGCCTGGGCAACAAGAGTGAGACTCCATCTGAAGGGAGGGGAGGGGAGGGAAATGGAGTCCCAGGACATGGTGACATGAGCGCCACTCATGGGTCTTAGCCCAGGGTGGGGGCAGGGCGCACTGTGAGTGTGAACCGGCTCACAGTGGAGGAGTAGGGACGTTAGGCCTTCTTCCTGGCGGATGACTCCCCAGGGACACCCGCTGTGATAACCAACCTCCCTCCCTTCCACCACCCCCAGCCACCACCTTCTCAATATTCTGCTGGAGACAGCAGGAACAGTGGCCTCTGTGCAGTGAACAACTGTGGTGTTCCAAGGCCGGGCACAACGCTTCAGGCCTGCACTTTGGGAGGCAGAGGCAGGTGGATAGCTTGAGGTCAGGAGTTCGCGACCAGCCTGGCCAACGTGCCAAAACCCCATCTCTACAAAAAAATACAAAAGTTAGCCAGGTGTGGTGGGGCACGCCTGTGGTCCCAGCTACTCAGGAAGCTGAGGTGGGAGGATCGCTTGAACCCAGAGGTCAAGACTGTACTCCAGCCTGGGTGACAGAGCGAGACTCTGTTTCAAAAAAAGTTTAAAAATGTGGTGTCCCTGTGTGTCCGACACTGTGCTGGGTCCTTTACTCCAGTTATATGACTTCTCCCAGCTGCCTGCAGAAGACAGGGGACCAGCATCCCACTTTACAGATGGGAAGACTGAGGCCCAACAGCTCATGTCACCAGTCCAGGGTGACACAGCCAGGCATGGCGGGGGCAGGACTGGAACCTGGGTCTGCTCTTCCCAAGCCTGCCCTCTTCCTCATCCTCCTTAAGGGAGCTCAGGGAGAACATCCTCTCAGGGCGAGGGTGGGCCGGCACGTACCTCCTCTCCTCCTCCAGCTGGTTGGACAGGTCTACCTTCTCTTTCCGCACGCTGTCCACCAGCAGCCGGGCTCGTTGCAGCTTCTCCTCGGCTTCTGCAACATACTGGGCCCCCAAGGGAGGGCCAGGACATGGTCAGCATGCTCTGGGGTGTGGGGTCCAGCTTGGGGGTGTGGTGGGAGAGAGGTAAGGAGCCGGGGCTGGAACCCCAGTCACCCCGACTCCCTTGGTGGCCTCTGCAGGACATGCACAGTGGGCCTGGGTATGAAGGAGGGGACCCAGCAGGAACAACAGAGGCAGAGGCAGGACCCTCAGGCCCACATGCCCTCAGCACCTGCCACCCCCCTCAACCCACAAGGACCTAAGACCTGTTATCCTGCAAACCTGTTGTCTTGTCTGTGCCTCATCAAAGCACAGCCATGAACTTGGCCTTATTGATCCTGGCGTCCGAGGAGGGGCAAGCCAGACCCCAGATGGGGACAGAGGCCCAGGAGGGAGTTCTCCCACCAGAAACAAGTATCAGAGGAAAAAAAAATAGACACGAGACAGCAGCAGACCCAAGGCTCAGAGCAAGGAGTCACTTCCCTGAAATCCAACCCTAGAATCTACTCAAAAGAATAATCTGAAATGTAGACAGACAGTCATGTATAAATAATTTTTTTTTTTTTGAAATAGAGTCTCGCTCTTCACCCAGGCTGGAGTGTAGTGGCGTGATCTTGGTTCACTGCAACCTCTACCTCCCGGGTTCAAGTGATTCTCCTGCCTTAGCCTGCCAGGTAGCCGGGACTACAGGCACGTGCCATCACAGCTGGCTCATGTTTTGTATTTTTAGTGGAGACAGGGTTTCACTGTGTTAGCCAGGATGGTCTCGATCTCTTAACCTCGTGATCCACCGGCCCTGGCCTCCCGAAGTGCTAGAATTACAGGTGTCGAGCCACTGCACCTGGCCATAAAAAAAATATTTACTACAGCGATATGTAGAAAGTCTGAAAAATTGGCCTGGCGTGGTGGTTCATGCCTGTAATCCCAGCCTTTTGGGAGGCTGAGGTGGGCAGAGCACTCGAGGCCAGGAGTTCGAGACCAGCCTGGCCAACATGGTGAAACCCCGTCTCTACTAAGAATACAAAAATTAGATTAGCTGGGTGTTGTGGCACACACCTGTAGTCCCAGCTACTAAGGAGACTGAGACAGAATCACTTGAATCAGGAGGCAGAGGTTGCAGTGAGCCGAGATTGCATCACTACACTCCAGCCTGAGTGACAGGGCGAGACTCCGTCTCAAAAAAAAAAAAAAAAAAAGTGAAAAATTGGAAATAATCTAAACAGCAGGGGACTAGTCACATCAGATAGCCGTAAGGACATCACCTGTGACAGACAGCAATGCAGCCATTATGACAGGGCAGACGTGGGGCACGGTGGCTCATGCCTGTAACTGCAGTGCTTTGAGAGACCAAGGTGGGAGGGTCACTTGAGGCCAGGAGTTTCAGACCAGCCTGGGTAACATAGTAAGACCCCATCTCCACAAAAAATACAAAACTTAGCTGGGCATGGTAACGTGCACCTATGGTCCCAGCTACTCAGGAGGCTGAGGTGGGAGAATCGCTTGGGGCAACAAAGCAAGGCACTGTATATTAAAAAAATAGAAAATAAAATAAAAGGATGATGAAGAATTTTCCAGAGCCTAGAAAATGCTTGCAGTATGGTGGTAAGTGGGGGTGGGGGGTGTGGGAAGCAGGCAGCACTTTGGAAAGTCAAGGATTGCTTGAGGCCAGGAGTTCAAGACCAGCCTGACCAACATAGCAAGACCTCATCCCTACATTTAAAATATTAAAAAAAATTAAAAAGCAGGACTGAGCATGGTGGCTCGCCTGTAACCCCAGCACCTTGGGAGGCTGAGGTGGGCAGATCACTTGAGGTCAGGAGTTCGACACCAGCCTGGCCAACATGGTGAAACCCTACCTATACTAAAAATATAAAAATTAGGGCTGGGCGCGGTGGCTCAAGCCTGTAATCCCAGCACTTTGGGAGGCCGAGGCGGGTGGATCACGAGGTCAAGAGATCAAGGCCATCCTGGTCAACATGGTGAAACCCCGTCTCTACTAAAAATACAAAAAATTAGCTGGGCATGGTGGTGCGTGCCTGTAATCCCAGGTACTCAGGAGGCTGAGGCAGGAGAATTGCCTGAACCCAGGAGGCGGAGGTTGCGGTAAGCCGAGATCGCGCCATTGCACTCCAGCCTGGGTAACATGAGTGAAACTCCGTCTCAAAGAAAAAAAATAAAAATAAAAATATAAAAATTAGCTGGGTTTGGGGGCAGGCACCTGTAATCCCAGCTACTCGGGAGGCTCAGGCAAGACAATCCCTTGAACCCAGGAGGTGGAAGTTGCAGTGAGCCAAAACTGCGCCACTGCACTCTGGCCTGGGTGACAGAGTGAGACTCCATCTAAAAAAATAAATAAATAAAAAATAAAATAGGAGATTGCTTATAGCCATTATTGGAAAATAAATAAATAAATAAATAAATAGGAGAATATATATAGTTTATAGCCAGATTCTGAAAGTAGGTGTACATATCTTTATACCCAGGCAGAAAGACTGGAAGGAAATTCACCAGGTCACTGAGGCTTATCTCTGGAGAGTGGGGACGGGCACTGCTTGTGTGATCTTCCTATTTCTCTGCACCCACCCCTGGGTGTCTCTGCTCTGGGTGGGTGAGACTCTATGAGGCTGGCTGGAGAAGGTCCGCCCCCAGCCCCACCTGCCACCCACCTGCTCATGCTGCGCCTTGAGCAGGGCGATCTCCTTCTCCACCTCACAGATGTGGCTCGTGGCCTTGGCCACCTCGGCCCGCTCCAGGTCTCGCTCGGCCAGCAACTGCTCAATGTGCTGCTGCTTCTCCTTCAGTGCCTCCTGCAAGGCCGTGGTGCCCGAGATCTTTCGGGCGTAGCGTGAGGAGGTCTCCGTGAGCTGCAGGAAGGCGTGGGTGCGGGCGGGTCTCAGGGATCTGAAGCACTGCAGGGCAAGCTGGCTCTGTCCCGCCTAACCTAAAGCAACCCAGCAGGTGGGGCCCCAAGTGCCTTGACCCCCAGGGTCCTGCCCTTCCCCTCCCAGTACTCTGACATCCTGTCCCCTGCTGTCTCACCCAGGGGGGAATCCTAATGTTTGAGATTCAGGAAACTCCCCATCTCAGGAGAGTCAGCTCCTGATAGCCAGCGCCTCTGATTCCCTCACTTTGGCCCCTTTTTTTTCCTGAGGCAGATTCTTTTTTTCCCGAGGCAGGAGGAATCTCCAACCCTAGGCTGGGTTTGGACAGAAGGCACTCTGCCCATAGCCACCGAACAGCCTCCTCTTTTCCCTTCATCCAGGGTCCAATGCCAACCTTTCTGGACCCCCTGCCCTGCATCTGTATAACCCTCCTTAACTTCCAGAGAAAGGCTCAGGCTAAATAAATCACTTATATAAAAATAACAATAAACATAAATGGCTCAATCTTCCCTATTAAAAGACATGCACTTTCATCTTTGTTCAAAATCCAAAACTGGAACTGTAAGTCAGGGGCCGACCAGGACACCTGGATCTCTATATGTCCTCACCCCTCCCAAAATGCACACCAGAGAATCCCCTTCTGCAGCCCCACCCTCACCAGGCCACTGCGGCTGGGCCGGCCCCCCACGGAGGAGGCCACAGAGCTGACAGAGCTGATGGAGGAACTGCTGGGACTGTGGGTCAGTGCTGACACACCCATGGCCATACGCTTGGTCTTCTTGGCCTTGGCTGGGCTGGTAGATGGGAAGCCAATACGGATCACCTTGTGGATGGGTGCAAAGAGACCAAATTTGGGTGGGCACTGGAAGTACCTGTGGAAGCAAGAGAGACCCACGCTACTGTCACAGCCTCACAGCCTGGAGCCTCCCCTCCCACCTCTGCCTCTTCAGTGCCAGGCACAAAGAGAGAAAGACGCCTCCTTGGGGCCCATCTGAAAAGACACTCCAAGGTGGAAATCTTCCAGATGGATAGACAGGGCTCTCACAAAGAGGACAGGGGTGAGTAGGGTCTCTGAGTCTCTGCAGGTATGAACAGCCAATGAGGATGCTCTTGGAAGTAGGAAATAATTACTGGGACCCACTTTGTGCCGAATGCTCATCTCCATTCCCCATAGTTAACTACATTCACAAATGAGAAAATTAGGCTCAGAGAGGTTACGTAGCTTGCCCACAGTCACAAAGCTGGTTACGTGGTTAAGCTGGGACTGGGCCTCCAGTTTGCTGGGCTCCCAAAACCACCAAGCTTGGCTCCCACAGACTGTTCAGAGACCCCAGCCACAGCTGCAGCCTCATTCTCAGGCTACCCTCAGACCACCCCCAGAATGAAAGAATCCCATCAGCTCTCTGCCCACAGAGTCCCTGTATGGAGAAGAAAAATCTTGAAAGAGACACCTTGGGGTGGGGTGGGGGCTGCTGTCCAACCAGCCCCTGAATTCTGAAAGCAAAAGTGAGTCAAGAGAAACATTCATTTTCCAAACAGGAAGGCAAAGCACCGCGATGGGAACCCCAGATTCTCGTCTTCTCCCAAAATCTCTCTGGTCATGGATTCTACACTGGACCACGAGAGGTGGGATCATCCGGTTTCTTTTCTTTTCTCTCTTTCTTTTCTTCCTCTTTCTTTCTCTCTCCCTATTTCTGTCTCTCTCCCTTTTCTTTCTCTCTCTCTCTCTCTCTCTCTCAACAGGGTCTCGCTCTGTCACCTAGGCTGGAGTGCAATGCCACGATCATAGCTCACTGCAGCCTCCACCTTCCGGGTTCATGAAATCCTCCCACCTCAGCCTCCCGAGTAGCTGAAACCGCAGGTGTGTGCCACCACACCCGGCTAATTTCTGTATCTTTTCTAGAGACGGGGTTTTGCTATGTTGCCCAGGCTAGTCCTGAACTCCTGGCTTCTAGTGATCCTCCAGCCTCAGCCTCCCATAGTGCTGGGATTACAGACGTGAGTCACCATGCCTGGCCCCTGTCCAGCTTCTGATTCACCTTGAAACTGCCGCCTCATCCTCCCTTTTCCACCTCCAGGTCTTTGTTCAACCTACCCTCTCAGCCCCTGCCTAACACAACCCTTCTCAAGCCTCTTCCACAAGGAAACCCGACCTTCCTTCAAGGCCTGGCCCAAGCCTGGCTCCTCCCCGTGCCTTGGTGACCACTCCTCCTCAGAGCAGTCACAGCCTCATCTCAACCACAGAATCCAGCCAGGGACTGCACAAACACTCAGGTGGCCTCACCGTAGTCCACACCCATGACAGACATGGTCCACTTGCCACCACACTCCCCCACCCACCACGAGCCCACATGCAGCCTCAGACCCTCCTAACCCAGCAATGCCACCAGTCAGTTCCTCTCCATCAGAGCTGGTGTGAGACCTGGAACCTGTCTGTGAGGCCTGCCTTTGGCCATACAGGGCTGAGCACTGTCTGGCTATTTCACATGTCATCCAGGGGACCCCAACGCCAGATGGCAGGGACTGCTGCCTCTCCTTTGTTTTTTTTGTTTGTTTGTTTGTTTTTGGAGACAGTCTTGCTCTGTCGCCCAGGCTGGAGTGCAATGGCGCGATCTCAGGAATGCAATGGTGTAACCTCCGCCTCCCGGGTTCCCCCTTTTTTTTTTTTCTCTAGAGACAGAGTCTAGCTCTGTTGCCCAGGCTGGAATGACAGAGTGGCGTGATCTCGGCTCACTGCAACCTCTGCCTCCCGGGTCCCAGCAATTCCCATGCCCCAGCCTCCCAAGTAGCTGGGACTACAGGTGTGCACCACCATGCCTGGCTAATTTTTTTGAGATAGTCTCACTTTGTCACCCACGCTGGAGTGTAATGGTGTGATCTTGTCTCACTGCAACCTACGCCTCCCAGGTCAAGTGATTCTCATGCCTCAGCCACCCAAGTTCTGCAATTACAGGTGTGCACCACCACGCCCAGCTAATTTTTTATACTTTTAGTAGAGACAGAGTTTCACCATGTTGGCCAGGCTAGTCTCAAACTCCTGAACTCAAGGGATCCACCTGCCTCAATCTCTAAAAGTACTGGGATCACAGGCATGAGCCACCGCACCTAGCCTCCTTCTCCTTTTTGAGGGCTCCCACCCCACTTAGCCATGAGTGACATGAAGACGAGGGCACGGGGACAGATTCTCTTGGTGCTTGCCTGTGGCTGTGCGACCCTGAACAATGATCTCTCTGGCCTCCATACTCTTATCTGTAAAATGGGATGATAATCCCACTACCCACCTTAGTGGGCTATTGGGAAGGAGGGAACGGGAAGGACGTATATTATGGACACTGGCTTCCTCCAATGTCCCGTCTCTATCCCCTGCGCCCACCCTGGGGAGAGGAGCCCCCTCCCATACTCCCCAGAAGAAACCCTCCATACCTGGTGCCTGCCACCGCTCCGTCATTCTTCCCAAGAGGCTCGTCCAGCTCCACGCCACACCACTCGCCCTTGGCAAAGTCTGTCTCCCCCACGTACCGCACCACGCCAGTCTTCGTCCCACCGACCTGCCGGCACACAGGGAGACTCAGGTCTAGAGGATGCAGTGGCAGAGGCAGAGATGGCAGGGGCACTCAGCCCAGGCTTATCCCACCCATCCCTTCCAGGATGCAGAGGACAGGGGAGACAGGAGTGGGGGAGGGGGAGACACCCAAGGATGACTGAGACGGAGACAAGTTAAACAGTGCCTCCCAGGGCCGACCCAGGCAAGAGCACAGGCTTTGGAGACAGACACGCAGACCTGCATTCAAACTCTGCCACCTAGAAGCTGTGTGCACCTAGGCAAGTTACCTAACCTCTCTGAGCCTCAGCATCTTCATCTGTAAAAAGGGTTTATGTGGCTGGGCGCGGTGGCTCACGCCTGTAATCCTAGCACTTTGGGTGGCCGAGGCGGGTGGATCACCTGAGGTCAGGAGTTCAAGACCAGCCTGGCCAACATGGTGAAACCTGTCTCTACTAAAAATACAAAAATTTGCTGGGCTTGGTGGTGGGCACCTGTAATCCCAGCTACTTAGGAGGCTGAGGCAGGAGAATAGTTTGAACATGGAAGGCAGAGGTTGTAGTGAGCTGAGATTGTGTCAGTGCACTCCAGCCTGGGCAACAGAGCGAGATTCTGGCTCAAAAAAAAAAAAAAGAGTTTTCGTGAGAATTAAGTACTGTATATACGGTGTCTAGTATAGAGCTTCGATAAATGTTAACCCTAAAATCAGCCCTTCTTTTTTTCGTTGTTGTTTTCTGGTGTGGTTTGTTTTTTTTTTTAGACGGAGTTTCGCTCTTGTTACCCAGGCTGGAGTGCGATGGCGCAATCTCGGCTCACCGCAACCTCCGCCTCCTGGGTTCAGGCAATTCTCCTGCCTCAGCCTCCTGAGTAGCTGGGATTACAGGCACGCGCCACCACGCCCAGCTAATTTTTTGTATTTTTAGTAGAGACAGGGTTTCACCATGCTGTCCAGGCTGGTCTCGAATGTTTGACCTTGTGATCCGCCCGCCTCGGCCTCCCAAAGTGCTGGGATTGCAGGCATGAGCCACGGCGCCTGGCCTCTCTTTTTTTTAATGGAGGTATAAATTCACATAACGTAAAATTTACCATTTTAGCCATTTTAAAAAATATAGGGCCAAACATGGTGGCTCATGTTGGTAATCGTGCCTGTTTTGGGAAGCTGAGGTGAGAGGATCACTTGAGGCCAGAACTTTGAGACCCGCCTGAGCAATACAGTGAGACCCTTCATCTCTACAAAAATTAAAATGAAACACAACAATAAAAAATAAGCATATAAGCCGGGCACAATGGCTCACGCCTTTAATCCCAGCACTTTGGGAGGCCAAGGTGGATCATCTGAGCTCAGGAATTTGAGGCCAGCCTGGGCAACACGGTGAAACACCATCTCTACTAAAAATACAAAAATTAGCTGGGCATGGTAGCGGGCGCCTATAATCCCAGCTACTTGGAAGGCCGAGACATGAGAATTGCTTGAACCCAGGAGGCGGAGGTTGCAGTGAGCTGAGATTGCACCACTGCACTCCAGCCTGGGCAGCAAAGCAAGATTCAGTCTCAAAAACCAATAAAAATAAAAAAGTAATTCAGCAGCTTTCAGTGCATTCACTGTCATTGCCACTATCTATTTCCAGAACCATCATCCCAAAGAGAAGCCCCGTACCCAGGACAAATCACATCCTATTCCATCTTCCTGGCAGCCCCTGACAACTGTTATACCATTACTATCCTATCTCTACAGATTGGCCTATTCTGGACACTTCATAGAAATGAAATCACATGGGTGGGCGCGATGGCTCACGCCTGTAATCCCAGCACTTTGGGAGGCCGATGCAGGTGGATCACTTGAGGTCAGGAGCTCGAGACCAGCCTGGCCAACATGGTGAAATCCCATCTCTATTAAAAATACAAAAAATTAGCTGGGCGGGGTGGTACATGCCTGTAAACTACTTGGGAGGCTGAGGCAGGAGCGCCTGGGAGGCAGAGGTTGCAGTGAGCTGAGATCATGTGGTTGCACTCCAGCCTGGGCGACAGAGCAAGACTTTCTCACAAAAAAAAAAAAAAAAAAAAGAAAAAGAAAAAGAAAAAGAGATGGATTGATACAACATCACATATTTTTGTCTGTCTTCTTTGCCTTAGCATCATGCTTTCAAGGTCCAATCATATTGCAGCAGGTATCAGTACCCCATTGTTTTTATGGTCAAATGGCATTCATGGTATGGGCAGACCACATTCTGCTTGTTTATTTCATCTGTTGATGGACAGCTGGGTTGTCTCCACTTTCTGGCCATTATGAATAATGTTGCTATGAATATTCTTGTATTTTTTTTTTCAATTTTATTTTTTGTACAGATGGAGTTTCGCCATGTAGCCCAGGCTGGTATCAAACTCCTGAGTTCAAGCGATCTGCCTGCCTCTGCCTCCCAAAGCGCTGGGATTACAGGCATGAGCCACCGCGCCTGACCTATTGGACAACTTTTTGTGCGAACATCTGTTTTGAATTCTCTCGCTACCCTCATTCTTTTTCAAGAGACAGGGTTTCAATATGTTCCCCAGGCTGGTCCTGAACTCCTGGGCTCAAGGGATCCTCCCACCCGAGCAGCCTCCCAAAGCACTGGGATGACGGGCATGTGCCACGTCCCCCAGCCACTATGAGGTACTTTGATGTGGGCCTTTTTTGCATCCTCTATCCTGGGATCCTAGGAGCCCTTTCAATCCAGAAACACCCGGCTGGCATGGTGGCTCACACCTGTAATCCCAGCACTTTGGGAGGCCGAGAAGGGTGGACCACCTGAGGTCAGAAGTTCAAGACCAGCCTGACCAACATAGAGAAATCCCCTCTCTACTAAAAATACAAAATTAGCCAGGTGTGGTGGCAGGCACCTGTAATGCCACATACTTGGGAGGCTGAGGCAGGAGAATTACTTGAACCCGGGAGGCGGAGATTGCAGTGAGCCGAGATCTTGCACTCCAGCCTGAACAAAAAGTGCAAACATATGCTTCAAAAAATAAAAGAAAGAAAGAAAGAAACGCTCTTCTCATTCTGGGGAATTTTCTTGAATTATATTTGATTCTCTCCCCTCCTTTTCTCCTCCTCCCTTTCTGTGAACGGGTTCTCTAATGTTCTTCTCTTTTGGCTCCTGCTTTTGTCTTTTTTTTCTTTTGAGATGGAGTCACTCTGCTGCCCAGGCAGGAGTGCAGTGGCATGATCTCGGCTCACTGTAACCTCTGCCTCCCGATTTTCCTGCCTCAGCTCTCAAGTAGCCGGGATTACAGGCACCCACCACCATGCATGGCTAATTTTTGTATCTTTAGTAGAGATGAGGTTTCACCACATTGGCCAGACTGGTCTCGAACTCCTGACCTCAAGTGATCCACCTGCCTCAGCCTCCCCAAGTGCTGGGATTACAGCTATGAGCCACCGCACCCAGCCTGTCTTCTTTTTGTTCTGGTTCCCGAGATATTTTCTGAGCTTTATCTTCTAACACTGTTGTGCCGTTCCTTATTTCTGTGATATTTTTCATTTCCCAGAGCTTTTTTGTTCACTGAATATTTACACATACACGAATATTCATACTCACATATTGAGCGGCATTTTTGTTCATATTTAATGCCTGTATCACCTTCTCTTATTTCTCAGAGGACCTGCTGTTTTCCCCAGAGAAGTTTCCCATAATCTCCACTGTGGAGGGAGTAGGCGTGGCCGCCAGGGCTCAGGGAGCCGAGTGGGGACCGGGGTGGGGGACTTCTTAGAATAGACATGTTCACTTCCCCTCCTGTTTCAGTCCCACCTGCTTGGGATCCCTCTATCCAATAATTCTCTGTGATCCACGCTAGGGGAACAGTCACCAGGCACAGCAGGAATGGGGACGGGGCAGGGGATCTAAGGTTTTTGTTTTCTTTGTTTTTTTTTTTCTTTTCTGAGATGGAGTCTCACTCTGTCACTCAGGCTGGAGTGCAGTGGTGTGATCTCGGCTCACTGCAACCTCCACCTCCCGGGTTCAAGCAATTCTCCTGCCTCAGCCTCCTGAGTAGCTGGGATTACTGGCATGCGCCACTACACCCAGCTAATTTTTTTTTTGTATTTTTAGTGGAGATGGGGTTTCACCGTGTTGGACGGGCTGGTCTCAAACTCTTGACCTCATGATCCACTTGCCTCAGCCTCCCAAAGTGCTGGGATTACAGATGTGAGCCACTGCCCCCCCATTTTTTTGTTTTTTGTTTTTGCTTTTTTCAAAGAGATAGTGTCTTCCTCTGTTGCCCAGCCTGGAGTGCAGTGGCGCATTCATGGCTCACTGCAGCCTCGAACTTCTGGGCTCAAACAATTCTCCCTCCTCGGCCTCCTGAGTAGTTGGGACTACAGGCGTGCGATGCCACACCTGAATAATTTTATTTTTTATTTTTTGTAGAGACAGGGTCTCACTTTGTTACTCAGGCTGGTCTGGAACGGTTGAGTTCAAGCAATCCTCCCACCTCAGCCTTCCAAAGTGCTTGGATTACAAGTGTGAGCCACAGCGCGTCATCAGTTTTTGTTTTTGTTTTTGTTTTTTTTGCGACAGTCTTGCTCTGTCTCCCAGGCTGGAATATAGTGATATGATCTCAGCTCACTGCAACCTCCACCTCCCAGGTTCAAGCAATTGTCCTGACTCAGCCATCCAAGTAGCTCGACTACAGGCCTGCGCCACCACGCCCGGCTAACTTTTGTATTTTTAGTAGAGATGGAGTTTCGCCATGTTGCCCAGGCTGGTCTTGAACTCCTGGCCTCAAGTGATTGGCCCACCTTGGCCTCCCAAAGTGCTGGGATTATAGGTGTGAGCCACCGTGCCTGGCTGAATCTAAAGAGTTTTAAACCAATTCTGATACTGGCTCCAACGGCAACCTCATTTGTAGAGGCCAACAAGTGGCCAGTTACTGAACGCCCAGGGTTTCTGAGAAGAACTTTGCTTCTCCTCTTCCCCGGCCACTAGCTCTTTAAAAAGATATTTCTCTTCATAGCTGAGCGTGATGGCTCAA